TTCCCCCCCCCGCCCCCCCCCCCCCCCCCCAACCTTGGTGCTTATTAATGTTTAAATAAACTTGCTCTGTCAATGCTTGCTTTTGGAGCAGATTTTTTTTTTTTTGCATCTGAATGCAGCCTACAACCCCTTACGTCTTGCTGCATCGGAAGCAGCTGGCTTAGAGATGGGAATTAAAACAGAGCCCACGTGCCTTTTTCTCTCCTGAAGCATATAGTTTGCACAGAAGGGTGCTGACAGAGGCATGCAACTAAATGTCTGGGAGTTTGCTTAGGGACCGAAGCCAGACTCTGCTTTGTGTTAAGCTGATGTCTTCGCGGCACAGGGAAAATAACTCCGAACATTGACAGAATTGGCCTTCCTTGCTTGTTTACATAACGTAAAAAGACACTAACCTCATCTGTAAGGAAAGCGCAGCAACCTGGACTGGGTCCAGATGAACACATCTCTCTGCTAGATGGCATGGCAGAGACCTTAAGGGAACTGTTTTGGATCATGGAGGGCCCTGGTTCGAATCTCACCCCTGCCACTAACTCAGCAAGTGGCCCGTGACACGCCCTCCTGTCTGAAACATGGGAAGGTAGTTCTACTAACCTATCTGTTGTAAGGATTATGATCAAATAATGTCTGTGAAGCACTTTGGACACTGTAAGTGCTGTCTAATGCTGAGTAGTAGCGTTGCTGTTATTTTTTTCATAAGAGGCAACCACCCGCAAGACCTCCAGAGGGAAAATCGAGTGTCACTTTGCATTATGTGAATGCTTGAGGATGTTCGGCCGTGTGGCGGGCAGTTTCATTTTTCCCAGGACCATATAAAAATACGTGCTACCCAGGCGCATGCAAAGCAGGCGAAAGATCTTTGTAGTGACCAGTATAAGAGAAGAACAGTTGTCCCCATGCACACTTTTCTTTCCTGCTCCTTAAGCATTTGAAAGCTGTCTGTCTTCAGTAGTCATGGTTCCAAGACTGTGAAGGGGAGGCCAACTTTTGTATCGCTAGAGGGCACGATAATCTTCTGATGCACGCAGTTGAGCTTCTTAACAAAGCTGGCGTCTTGCAGAAGGGGCTTCTTGTGCGCTCAGGTATTATGAGAGCCTCCGTTTGGGTTGGGCAGGGGCACAAGCGGTCCGCTGGGCAGATTCTGCCACCACCACCCTGCCCCAGGGGGCACATCTGCAGCAGACCTTTCCTTTCTGGAATTGGCATGAAATAGCAGTTTCCCAACACTTATATGGCACGTGTGTCGCAGGGCATTATTTCAGTTTCTTCCTTCTACCAGTCCTTCACTTAAAGCTTTGGTAGGGCCACCAGGGGCCAGGTGTAGATGCTCCTGGACGGAGGTTGGTTCTCAGGCCACCAGGCAACCGTCCGTGCCGTCGCCCTGCTCTACGAACCCGGAATGGGGCAGAGCTCTGTCTGAAAATTACACATCCCGTTTGCAAAGGAGGCAGAACTTCTGCTTTCCAGGTTGTCCGGTTTTGGACTGAGTGATTGCGTGTTTGAAAAAGGAATCTCGGCTTCCAACACATCCCCCAATCTGTTTTCCTCCCTCCCCTGTATGTGACAACATCTGAAGCTTAATCCACAGAACGCTCTGTGCTCCTTTCCTGCCACTGTGCATAAGCACATCCTCTGGGTTTTGCTTGTAGTAGCGGTGGATTCATCGCCACCTTCTCTGCCCTTACCCACCGTATCAGTGCTGTTCCCTGAATTATACAAATAAAACGGGTGGTCACAGTGTTGCCAGCCTCCAGGTGGCGGCTGGAGGTCTCCTGCTATCACAACTGATCTCCAGGCAACAGAGGTCAGTTAACCTGGAGAAAATGGCTGTTCTGGAGGTTAGGCTCCATGGGATTGTACCACATTGAAGTCCCTCCCCTCCCCAGGCCCCGCCCTCCCCAGGCTCCACCCCTCCAAATCTCCAGGTATTTCCCAATCCAGAGCTGGCAACCCTAGGGTTTTTGGGTTTTTTTTTTTTTTTTGGCAGAATTGGATATTTTTAGAGGGCTGCAGAAGTGTCTGTTCCCTCTTACCCGTGTCCTTGCTTTAATTGGTTTCCTTTACAATGGTCGCTTACAGCTGCCTGCAATTTGTATAGCCAGTCCCCCAGAATCCTCCTCCCATCCTTCCTAAGGTGGCCGGAGGTTTTTTTTGGGGGGGGGATGTTGTTGGTGCCTGCCCCTCCCACCTAGAAGAGAGTTGGTGCTTTTGCAACTCTGAATGGCCCAGTCTTCAGGTTTGATCTAACTGACAGGGAGACACGTCGATCTGGACTATGTCTAGGATGAGGGCTAAAAACGCTGTGTGCTCCTCACACAGTTTTAAACACCCCCCACATAGATGTGGCAGGTCATATTTTATCGTGGGCCATTTGCCCGGGGGCTGGTATTTCTCTCTTTCACATGCTTATCCCACCCTTCCTCTAAGGCACTCGGGGGCTCTCCCATCCCCGCCTGGACGGTCATAGATTTCATAGCTCTCATTCAAATAGATTTTCTTGTCCCTATCAGTATCTTAAGCTCAGTTTGCTAAGGTCCTATAGCAGGCCAGTAAACCCTCAGGGTCCTCTGGGGCAATCGAGGCACGTGGGGCACTCAGATTTGGTTTGGGACCATAGTGTTGTATGTGTGTGGGGGGGTGACCCTTGAGAAGGAGTGGAGGCAAAGATACTGACAACATGCAGAGTGCCTGGAAATCTGCCCCAATAGGATAAATAGACCATTTCTGATGAAAGGGGTTCATTCTCCTTCCTCTGCCACAGTCTCAGTCAAGGCCCCCCCCCCATATCTGCTGTTGGGGGGGGGAGTTTGGAAGCCTTGATCATAGAATTTCTAGCATCTCACCTGGTTTGACCCGTGGTGTGCCCCCCACTCCACATTGGGTCTCCCCCCCCCCCGTCTTATTTCTTGTTCCGCCAGTTGGAGCTTTTCTCTCACCTCTGTGAACAAGAAGAGAGTCCCACTTAGAAAGTTGTGAGGGGTGGGAGGGGGCTAAATGCCTCAAATTAAGCCAAAGAGGAAGCTCTTGGCTGGTCTTGAATAACTGATACAGGGAAGGTTTGATGGGATGGAATTTATACTCAGACAGCAGTCCTTTCGTTGGTATGATTCAGCTCTGTCCTGATTATGAGGCAGCACCAACAAAAAGCTCTCGTAAAGAATTAATTATGTTATTTGGTTTTAATGGTTCGTGCACTTTATTGTTACCCACCCTGAGCACGTTTTGGCAAGGGTGGGATATAAATTTAACTAACTAACAAATAAATAAAGTATATGGTGTGTGTAGTTGTCCAAAAAGTACACTTTTGGGGAAACCTCATTATATGGGTCTAGAAGAGCCAGATTCAAGTAGTAAAAGATCAAGAGTCCAGCAACATCTTAAAGAGGAAAAAGATGAAGGCAGCTTTGACTCTTCAGAGCTTTATACCCTGGAAATCTGGTTGGTCTTTGGAGTGCGACTGCACTCGAATCTTGCTCACATTTTGAATTAGTGGCCGATTTATTAACTGCTACAAAGGTATTAACACAGAACGGGTGTCAGAGCCACCAACTATTAGAAACTGGCTGGTTACAATCTGGAATCTAGTTGAAATGGTAGAATTAACAGAGTTCATGCACTCGGGAAAAGATACATGAGTCTTTTTTCTAAAGCACGGCCACTGTTAAATAAATTTGTAAAAGCATTATAGTTGTTAATGGTAATTTTGGGTGTGATTGCTAAGATATGAAGATGTGCTTTTTACCTAGTTTCCTGTCTCTGATATAAATTTGAGTGATGGGAGAAATCCGAGGAGCAGGCGCAGAGGGGGTGAGGGTCCACAGGAAAAATGAGAGTACTTTGACAAAGGAATCCTCTTGGGGTGAACCAGACACCCAGGCTCAGCTCAGTCTGCCTCACAGGATTGTTGTGATGATAAAATGGAGTTGGGGAGAATTACATATGCCGCCCTGAGTTCCTTGGATAACAATGAAAGAGGGAAATGGCAAAGAAGCGAACAATAAAACGCTTCCGTTTTCAACAGCAGAGTCCGGGTTCCTAAAAGGTGAAAGAACAGCAATAAATACCAGATTTATATATATATTTCCCCCCTCCTTTGTTTCAGACAGTTCACAAGAGAACAGTCTGAGTGGTTGAGTCATTGGGCCAAAACACTTGTTGGGGGAGAAGGTTTGATATATTGCTTTAAAATGGCCGACTGTGGTTTTTCTGCATTTCATACGGAAGACGTCTGTTAGCTGTTTCTAATCTGGGGATAAGAAGAGGGAATCGGGCAGGATCTGTTGCTTGTCTGAGACATTGTCTAGTGGAAACCTCACAATTTTTTTTCCTTCTAATTTATGTGCTGAAATACACCATTCTTGGGTATAAGACAACATTTTAAGAAAAGAGTTCATATATATGTTTTTCAAAGGATTTACTATTGGATTAACCACAGTACTGAATTCTGCATCTCTTCTCTTCCCAGATTCCAAACCCTCTGTTTGATCTGGCGGGGATCACGTGCGGTCACTTCCTGGTACCCTTCTGGACTTTCTTTGGTGCCACCCTGATTGGAAAAGCAATAATCAAGATGCACATCCAGGTAATTACGCTTCCTTCCTTTGATCCAAACACCACCCATTTCTCCATGTTTTTTCCTTCCCTTTCACAAATCCACCCAGGCACATAGCTCCAGCAACATCACTAAAAAATGCAGTCCTTCCCCCCAGGAAGCACAGCAGTTGTCCCCTGGGAAACAGACTGCCCAAGGTTCTTGGTGTTAAAATGGTAGTCAGTCTGAGAACAACATTTCCCAGGGTGCAGCATCTCCAACACGACCCAACAATGTACAAGGCGACTGGGAATGGAAGATTCTCATCCCACCACGTCCTTTGAGTGGCTGATCACCTTCCCAACCACAAACCTGGTTCTGCAGCAGCACAGTAAAAGCAGACGTAAGGGGGTGGTTTTCCAACCCGTTCCAGGTTTGAAGTTAATCTTAGGAAAAAGCAAGGAATTTTGATGGTTTTTTGGCACACGGCTCCCTTTCCCCACCCCCAAGCCCCAATCCCAAGCCATGCTCAGAAGGTTTGCCACATCTCCAGTGATGACCCTGTGGGTAATGCCTGGTTCTCTCGTGCAATAGAATGTGGCGGCAGAGCTCAGGGGGAGCGGACCCTGGACTCAGCTGCTTCAGACGGCAATATGGTGGGTTCCGTCTTGGAATGTTCCCGTGCATTAAAAATGTCCATGCAAATAGAAATAAGCCCAGCAAGGAGAAAAGCCAGCATGGTGTAGTGGTTAAGAGTGGTGGCCTCTAATCTGGAGAACTTTGGCTTTGATTCCCCACTCCTCCTCCACCTGAAGCCGGCTGGGTGACCTTGGGCCAGTCACAATCCTCTCAGAACTCTCTCAGCCCCACCTACCTCACAAGATGCCTGTTGTGGAGAGAGGAAGGGAAGGCGATTGGAAGCCTTCCCTTTGAGATTTCTTAAGGCAGAGAAAAAGCAGGGTATAAAACAACTACTTCTTCTCTCCCTCTCTCTCTGCATGTTGCACTGCCTTCAGTTTGCAGGGAGTTTATAACCCAGGGGACCATTCCACAATGTGGCCATCCACCTGCCGTCTGACAAACTGAAGTACGTTTTACCATCTCACTGCCACCACCTCCTGTTGGTGTGAACCAGGTCTTGGAGAGAGGGAGAGACAGAGTATAAATGGTCAGACAGTTGCATTGGTAAAGATACAGGGGCTGGGGCCTATATATTACTGTATTCCTGCCTATCACTGTAAGTCTGTCCCAGACTAGGTAGTTTCTACACCACTTAATGTATCGTCTTTAAAAACTCAAGCTGTGTTTCAAGCTCTGTTTGAGATTTCTATAGCCCAAACCATAATTCACTGTTCCTGGGCTGTCTCGTCCTGTCGATTGTACTTGATTTACAGTATGTGATCCGCCTTGAGGCTCAGCAAAAACGGCAGACTATAAAAAACCAAATAAATACATGAATGCCCATGAGAGAGTGTGCATGTGTAAATTAGGAAGGAAGGAGTCAGGTAGTACAGTCCCCCAACCACAAATGAATTCTCAGCTGCTTGCATCTGTTCAGAGGTCCCAAAGAGAAGGCCATGAATGTACCATTCTTGTAAGTTCTTCCTCACTTTTATGTGGGCAGTAGTCTGGAGAAACGCCCCCCCCCCCCAAATTAAATTGTAATGGGACGGCTACAAGAAAATGCATTGGAATTCGTGTTCAAAGTGTTCAGCCCTCAATGCTGTTCAGGAAACTGATGGTTAGTCAAGGCGACGTTTTACCTGGGTTGTGTCTGTGATCAGCCAAACGGAAGATGCCACACAGTCATAATGAATGTACTTTTTTTGGGTAACATTCTTGTGTACTCATTTTTGTAGTACTCTGATGATAGCTTTTACTCACTGTAAAAGACCAAGGGGGTGGAAGGAGGTGGAACACCCTGCCACATGAACTATAATTAAATAAGCAAGCCCTTTGTACAGAAAAAACCCTTCTTCTCTATGAACACAAGACAGCTTAACACAATTTTTGAAACTCTCAGCAAAGCAAACACTGTTTGGAGGGTAGCCGTATTGAGCTCATTGCACCTAGATCAGCCGAGCGTGTTGTGGTGCGTTGAAGACACAGAAGATACCCAGGGGCAGAAGCTTTCATGAACCAGTTTGGTGTAGTGGTTAGGAGCTTGGACTCTAATCTGGAAGAACCAGGTTTAATTCCCCCCTCCTCTTCCGCATGCAGCTCCTGGTGTGGGTCAGTCACAAGTTCTCTCAGAGCTGTTCTCTCCCGAGCAATCCTCAAATGAGCTCTCCCAGCCCCACCTACCTCACAGGGGAAGGGAAAGGAGATTCTAAGCCGCTCTGAGACTCCTTCGGGTTGTAAAGGGCAGGGGGTATAAATCCAATATCCTCTTCTCTTCTCAACTGTGTCAAATGCAAGCCAGTTTTTATTCCGGCCCACAAGCCCTACAGAAGCAGAGCAGTCAGATGCCGGTGTTATCTGGCAAAGTGAGCTGCACTCCCCACAAGCACGTGCTACAGTGAAGCTGATAATCGTTGCGGTGCCCTAGTACTCTAGTTTTCACCTTGTTTAAACATTTGATTAACAGTTCAAAAAACACAATTAAAAAGCGCCAGAAATTCCCCCAAAAAGGGGGAGGAGGAGAAACAACAGATAAAGAGAAGCGTACACATAGCAGTCCCATGTGTGTGTAAAGTGTTGTCAAATCACAGCCCAGTAGAGCTCACCCTGGTTAGCATCCAAGATCTGAGGCGATCAGGCTAGCCTCGGACACATGTAGCAATTTGTACAATTAAATTAGTGGGGTTTTTTTTATTTTTTAAGAAAGTATCAAAATTTTACACTTCTCACCTTGTATTAGTGGTTTTTTATATTTTGAAAGAAAGTATCAACATTTTACACTTCTCATGTTGTATCCTTAATTGATTATTTCTGTGCTAAACAAAAACAATCAAGTTATCTACAAACATTTACGTTAGGCCCATTCAATGGTCAAATTAGAATAGTTCAAATTTTTTTGAAAACCATAAACATTAATCGGTGGCACAGAACATGTAAAAGACAACCACATCCATCATAACCTGTTGGATCCCCAAGCATCGAGAATAAATCCACGTTTTAAGAAAAGCAAAATTTATTTCAAAGCGTTGACGACATACTCAAACACGTTCTTTGTTAGAACTGGGGATACACAGTTAGATCAAGCATAATAAAGGAACTTCAAAGAGATACAGGTCCAATGAATAACTTTCCCGCTGGCGGGCTAATGAAACGGTTGCGCGCCCAGTCCATGGGAACCAGGCAGGATATTAGACATAACACAGGTGCAGTAGTCATGGGAAAAGCAATAGCCAAGCATTACAGCATCTTCTCCCCCACACAACCTCCAGCAGTTATCTTTTGCATTCCAACGCAGGAGCAGGATGATAGAAACCAAGCCGGGTGCAACAGGGAAAGAATATGTACACAGAGGTCACAGAAAACAGAATGGCAGCTTGCTGACATACTGCCCCCCTTAAAATACACTTACAACACACCTCCCGGGCCGGGCGGGAGATCTCCCGGGCTGGGCGGGAGACCTCCCGGTTTGTCCGGGAACCTTCTGTGGAAACTACGGATCAGGTAAGGGGCCCGAATATCCCCTTCTTCCACCCATTCGCGGTGCTGGGGACCGAAATCAACCCATTCGATAAGGTACCAGAGTTTACCACGTTTCACTTTACAATCCAGGATATCAGCGATCTCAAAATGTTCATCCCCTTCCAAAATGACAGGTGGAGGAGGAGTAGTTACAGGTCTCCATGGAGACGGGCCAGGATCCTTCTTTAACAGGCTCATGTGAAATACAGAATGCAAGGCACGTAAATTCTTAGGCAAAACAACATCAACTGCCACATCATTTATGACTTTGCGCACTTTGAAAGGGCCTATGAACTTCCATCCCAATTTCCTGCTAGGCCGCAGCATCTTAATGTTCTTGGTTGAGACATACACAAGATCCCCAGGTTTCAGATCAAACCCCACCACCCTACCCTTGTCTGCCTGGGTCTTGTAAGCAGCCTTGGCTGCGTCAAGTGTTTGGCATAACAGAGGCCATGCTTTTTGCAAGGACATACACCAGGTATCAGCATCCCCCACAGGACGTTGGCCCATCCCCTCCAAGAAAGGGAGGGGGGGGCTGTCGTAACCAGAGACAGCTTTATACGGAGACATGCCTGTGGAGCTATGGACAGTATTATTATAACAATATTCAGCAAGAGGCAATAAGTCACACCAATCATTCTGTTGATAATTAGTAAAACAACGCAAATATTGTTCCAGGGTCTGATTAACTCGTTCCGTCTGTCCGTCAGTCTCGGGATGATACGCGCTGCTGAGTCCTTGTTCCACCCCTAAAATGGAAAGAAGTTCCCTCCAAAATTTAGAAACAAATTGGGTCCCCCTGTCAGAAATTAACTTAGTAGGTAATTGATGAATTTTCACCACGTGAGACATAAACGATTTCGCCAACCTTTGAGCTGTAGGCAAGGAAGGAAAAGGTACAAAATGAGCTTGTTTAGAAAACAAATCAACAACCACCCAAATGACAGTGTTCCCTTTGCTCGCAGGGAGGTCAGTAATAAAATCCATGGATACCACTTCCCATGGTCTCGATGGAGTAGGGAGTGGCTGTAGAAGACCAGGAGGCTTGCCCAATCTGGGTTTAGTCAAGGCACATGTTTGGCAGGACCGAACAAACATCAAGAGGTCTTTGCGCATATGTGGCCACCAGAACTGTCTGCGGATGAGTTGTAGAGATTTAACAAAACTCCAATGCCCTGCCAGTTTCGAACCATGAGCAGACTCCATCACCTCCCTCCTCATTGAAATAGGCACATACAGTTTGTCTCCAGAATAAATCAGACCATCAGGGCTACGGACACAATCAGGCAACGTTGTCAGGGAGGCATCATCCTCAACAGTCAAAGCAGACAGATATTTTTGGACCCAGGCCCCCCCCCCCACAGGGAAAAGGGAAGGCGTAGTCTCATCAGAGTGTGGAATTGCCCGCG